CCCGGGGGTCAGGGTCCAGGGTTAGCAGATTGTCGCCCTTAAGTGGATAGAATATGGCCTTGGGTATAGTATAACCCGATCCCTATCTACCCCATATTCCATCTACTTAAGGGGGACCATAAGCCCCTAAACCCTACACCCCATGTTCTATCTACTTAAGTATTAAGGGGGTCTAGAAGCCTCCAACACCTAAACCCTAAACCCACTGTACTTAAGGGGGACGAAGTCGCAGCTTTGCAGGCGTGATGTGGACGCCTTTACGGAGAAAGGCGGATGGAAGTCAGGGAAGACCCCCATGGCTTTGCGGGTGATTGTCATGTATAGGGGTTACAGGTTAAGGGTTTAGGGTTTAGGGTTTAGGTGGATACTAAAAATCCTGCATGACCGCATGACTCTAGGTACCTTATAGATTGGGAATAACGGGACTATAGTATATTAAGGTCATGCAGGATTTTTAGTATCAACAGTAGGTCCCTTTAAAGGGATATGTCATTGTCCTTGAACATTATACCCTAAACCCTACAATTGGGGGAGGGCTTTCGGGAATGGCAGCTCTTGCATTGCATGTCGGATGTCTATGGGTAGGTATGTGTCGTGGAATTTTGGGGTTTCGCAGAATTAGGTGTACTTTTTACGGGGTCCTTATAGCCTTATAGTCAGCATTATGGTATGGTGGGGTCTATACTAGGGGTCCCCTATTTGGGGAAACTACCATTTCTTGCTTTGTGTGCTTGTGTGCAGGCAGGGCTGTTCAGGTGGTTGAATGATTCCGGGAGAAGATGGGCGTAGCGGCACAGCTGAGTTGACAAGTAGACTGTGACTGAGTGTTGACCTCAGGGGGTAAATCCAAAATGTAGGGTTTGGGGTTTAGGGTTTAGGGTTGGGGTTTTAGGGTTTAGGGTTTAGGGTAGCATCCTTGCGTGACTACCTGCCCTCAGATGCATCGTCATCCAGACAGTGTCCTGTCATAGGGTCATGACCTGTACTACGACTATTATTACTTCCTCTACGACTATTACTATAGACTATTACTCTATTACTACTCATTACTATTACTAAAACTATTACTATTACTACTTATTACTCATTACTTACTACTTATTACTATTACTCTTACTCTTACTATTACTATTACTATTACTATTACTATTACTAGTACTACTACTACTACTACTACTTATTACTTATTACTTATTACTTATTACTTATTACTTATTACTTATTACTATTACTACTACTACTACTACTCCTACTACTACTACTACTCCTCCTCCTCCTCCTCCTGTCAGACCCACTTCGCTCGCCCTCTCCGTCTCCGGCACCGGGCCGAGGGCGGCCAGCCTCCCCGCAGGGCGTGCGCGAGGCATGGAAGAGTGCTGGGTTGCATGGTTTAGGGGTTTAGCGTTTAGGGCTTAGGGTTTAGGGTTTAGGGCTTAGGGTTTAGGGCTTAGAGTTTAGGGTTTAGGGTTTAGGGGGTAATAAGTTTGCCTTCAATGGTAGAATGCGGTAGAATGAAGTGCATGCTACACCACGAAGTCTAAACTGTGTAGATGGACTTGACATGTGGACTTCGTAGCTTGCGTCTTCAGATTTGGATTCTGGAAGCTTCAAGCATGTGTACTTTACGGTATTGTGTTTCCAGTTTGGTGGGCCTTGGGAACTATAGGCACAAAGCAATCAACAAATCTCCGTTCACGCTCCAAAGCCATCCAGACACGCCGACCTTGGCTGCGTTGCGCCTGGCTTCCGCCCTGTCCTCGGGCATGGATGCTTGTGCTGTAGAACAGCATGTCATCACACGGGAATTTGCCATTTGGGCTTTGGGCTGGAACAGCTTGAGCCTTGAATCGAGCATGGCACGAGGGACATTTGTTCCGTGTTGCTGTCCTTCATTTTATAGCTCGCACTCTATGTTACTATGTGGGCTTGGCACGAGCATGGCCTGTACTTTGCCGCAGGGCTCAGAACCTTGAGTCAGCAATTTGTGATGTCAAGCAGCAGATGGGCACCTGAATTGAGAATGACGCTGAAGCAGCATGGACAGCAACCATCGCAGCAGCAAGCCTGCAGCCTACATCCAGCAGCTGACTGCTCGAACTTGGGTGCAATGTCATCTGAGCTGGCGACTCGGCTGATGACGTGCAAACTTATGAATTGCAAGGGGAAGGATTTCTATAGGTGTCCCTATACTAGCTCCGTTAATGGTCCCTAAATCCATTCCTCCAGTCCGCGCTAAGCAGCAAGGAGCTGTTGGGCGTTGAGTCCGGAAGGTTTGAGAGCTCAGGCTCAGACCGAAGGGTCTCTCGTAAGCTAGGATGATAATTTCCCTAAGGGTGCAAGGACCCAAAAAATAGGCTTTAGAGCCCAAATACTTTGATATCAATGGTATTTGGGCTCTAAAGCCCCACTATTTGGGTCCTTGGACTCTGGGGGTTCGTTTGACACCCTACACTTGCCCACGTCCTGAGGGTTTTGTCAGTTGCCCCCTTTTGGCCCATCCACAGAGCCCAAGACCCCTTGATCAAGGAATGTAGATGGTACTAGCATCCATACTGTAACATGGTTTTGGAATATTTCCCAACTACCCCTTAACTGAGGAATATAGCTTATCAAATGGTATTAGGCTCCCTAACCCGATTTTAGGAATATTTCTTGACAAGTAAGGAGTGAAACAAAATGCTGCTTGAGTAAGTGAGGAGTATTGGACTCCCTGCATATTGCTCCTGTGCCGTGGGCACCCTTTAGGTTGGGTTGCTGTCAATATTTAAATTACCACAATGTGGGTATATATGTATATATTAAATGATAGGTTTTCCTTAACATGGTAACTGAACTTTAGAATTCCTTATAAACAACCCTGTTTAGGTTACCATTGTGGGGTTTGGATCGCTGCTGAGCAAGCGGAGCGCGCTGCTCACAACCCCGAGTATCCAGGCGCAAGTGCCTGGTTTGATCCTGGGTTTCTGGCGCGCTTTAGGGTTGAACCCTAAACCCTAAGCCCTAACTTGTCAAGTTCTGTAGGAATACTGGTGAGGCTATCTATTGGTTCTCCACCTCAACAAGGCGGCAAGCTAGAATCCCAACAGGTGCAAACCCCGTGAGCCCAATACCCCTAGATTCCGGAACATTCCTGGCATAGTTTAGGTGATACTCCACTAGACCAGACCATGAATACCCCCACCATTTTCAAAGCCCTAAACCCTAAGCCATTCATTGAGGTATATTCCTTGGTTAAGGGGCTCGTGGCTCTTGAGGGCTGCCATGACACAGGTTTTATCACTCCAATGCCTTGCCAAAACAAACAGCCCGAAACCCTAAACCCTAAGCCCCACAAAAACCCTAAGCCCTAAACCCTAATCCCTTACCTAGATCCTACACCCTAAGCATTTAGGGCTTAGGGTCTCAGAGACATTGCGTGGTCGATTTGTGCTCTTCTAGTGAGGCGCGGTTTTGGTGTTTAGCCAATGTATGTGCAAGGAAGGTATAATATGCGGGTTATATAGGGATAATGGAAAATGCAAAATGGAAACTATAGGGATTATAGGGACTATATAGGGGTTATATAGGGGTATAATACTAAACATCCCAATCTGCGATGCTCTTTGTTGGGCACCCGCGCCAAATGCCTTCTATTTTGAAGCCTTCAACCATATATACCTTTCCCTCTATATCCTTATAAACCTCTGTGAAAGGGACCCCTAACTTTTGGGACTCTCAACTGCATAGTGTAGCCTAAACCCTAATCCCGAAAGTCTAATCCCAAAACCCTAATCCCTATACCCTAAACACTAAACGTTAATCCCTAAACCCTAAACCATGTAAAGGCGGGAACGTATCTGACAGGGCTTCCAGTACGTCCGGGTCAAGGGCTACCAGAGACAGTTTGCCCACCCGGCGCCCATCTTCTTCGAGCGACCCCTGGCAGCGCTTCAGGAGTTATATGGGATATTCTATAGGGATTTTATAGGGATTTCTAAGGGTTATGTAGGGGATTCTATCGGGGATATATATATAGGGGATTATATAGGGTTATTTTGGGTCTAGGGTTTAGGGTTATAGGGTTGTATAGGGATATTTAGGGTTTAGGGTTTAGGACATTGATAGGAAAACTTAGACCACAAAAGTGTGTGAAGGAAGGGGCCAGAACCCATCAAACATAATGCCGCAAAAGGAAACTATTCTAGATACCTCTGGGATTCTGGGATGACTCTACTTAAGGGGGTCTACAACCCTATATAACCCTACATAACCCCAATATACTATAGTAGCTTCCAGGTTCTTTTCCATTATCCCTATATAACCCCAATATATACCCTACAATCCCAGTGTAATCCCCATAAAAACCCTTATATAACCCCTATAATCCCTGTAGTTTCCATTTTCTTTTCCATTATCCCTATATAACCCCAATCGTAGAGCTGGCTGCGCTGTGAAGAGTGTGGAGCTGATTCTGCCAGCGGATCTGGCGAGGCTTTTCCGCTCCGGCGCGGTTTGGGGTTAATGGGTTTTAGGGTTTTAGGGTTTAGGGTTATGGGGTTTTATAGGGTATCTATTGGGGTTCTATTGGGATAATGGAGTTTGCAATGGAAACTAGTAGATTATAGGATTATAGGGTTTGGGCTTTAAGTTAAGGGTTTTAGCTGGCAGCAAAGCTGAGAGCCCATCCGGGGCTCAGCCAATTTACTGCAAGGTCTGATTTGATATGTTGTAACCTGTTCTTACTTAGAAGAGCCACCCCTCACAAACAGC